AAAAAGGCTCAAAAACAAACCACTTTTTAAAATCAGAACTTGAACGAAAACTCCACATATCGTGTTTACAAACTAACCAACACTTATGGTGATGCAACTTAAAATAATACGAAAATTCAGTTTTAAAACTTAGTCTAGGCTGAATCTTAAACCGGCGTAATAATTTAAATCTCGGCAACTGTAAGGTGAAGCTAAATAATTATAATCTTATCAGAAATAGCGAAATCTAGTAACGTGGCCTCGAGAGGCAGAAACACGCTCTGCCTTACAAGCCAAAAACCTCGCCTTAAAACCTCTCAAACCTGATTTGCATTCTGGTAGGGAAACGGATAGGACGCGTGACAGTAAAAATCTAAATTATAATAATGGCTATATATTAACATAATGGAACTTTACAGTTTGCTTGTGTGTTTAACTGAAAACCGCATGCAGACGGAAGTTATATGCTAAAGAAATAAGTTGCCTTCTTAAAAGAAAGGCGTGGTCTATTTAATCATAGCAAAGCACACTAGGGCTATCTGCCTAAGGGGAGGGATGCTTTCGTGGAGGACTTTTTAAGGGAAACTGGCTCGTATACACGTTACACATGGGGAAAACCACGAAAACGCCCATGCAGCCCGCCCGTTCGCGGGATTCGATACTCGGACCGAACTACCAGTGTTCAGCGACTTTAACGCTCGGCCGCTGGTGGGCCCTTAAAAGAAAGGTCTAAAGGAAACTGACTCGTATTTATGTTAGATAAGGGAAAGTCAATAAAGGCTCATGCAACGGACTCTGGCAAAGGGAATTCGAACTCTGGTCCAACGAGCAGTACTGAGCATTATGAGCTACTCGCCTAATAACATACTTAAATGGGCCTAGAAAGAAGAAGCAATGCTTGGGATAATTAGAGTACTTATAACCGAATTGTTCTGTATTTATCTTTCAAAGCAATGCATATAAAGTATAATCTTCAAGAAGTTTTGTAAATAAATTATTGCACAGTCTTAAGTTATCCGATTAGGGCAATTTTTGTGACTATTATAATCATGAGAAAAGGAGTCTTGCTTTATCGAAGAATTTTTAATGAAACTAGATAATTTTTATGTTTAACAACGGTAAAATCATAAATTCTCATTTTTAAATTAGATTTGATTGAAATCAACTTTTTAAATCATTATTAGATTAAAATTCAAGAACATTTTGTTGTATATATTATGTAATATTTACAGCCACGTCTGCTTCTCAATCTTTACGTACAGCTTTTGAAATATGTTGATGTTTCATATCTCCAAAACATTTAAAATTTGATAAAATGTTTTTCCTATTACATTATCCATTTTTATGCTATACAGTTTACACTAAAACGGTTTTTTAAAATTAAGATTTGCAGATCTAGTCAATCAACTGCTACGGTCAGGGCAACCTTACGAAATAACTGGTGCAGAAGATAACTCTAAAAGAACAAATTAATTTGAAATTTTTATTTTATGGCGATTCTGAAAAGGTCAATCGGTAACTGCTTTACCATCATGTGGCAAATCAGTTTATTCAATATATAAAAGAGAGTCGTAGAAATAAATGGAACTTTAAATGAATCAATCAACGTTTATTAGTAATATGCATAAATTATCTGTTTCGAAAACGCATTTTTAAAAAGTACTCAAGCAATAAAGAAGGAAAATTAGAGTTAGGATATAATATAATGTCTCTTCAAGTACTAACAATTATTGCACTCTATGAAGATCAATTCAGTTTAATAATTGTTCAACGAAACTTTTCCTCATAACGAAAACTTTTATTTATTAAACTAAAAATTAAAGAAGCAAGTATGATTAAAATTAGATTAAAAAACAGATTGGCATAAATTTTGCATAAGCGTTTTCAGTTTCGCGAGCGATCAGACATATAGTGGCTCACATGTCTTTTCGGAATCTTGTACTTTTTATATTTATTTGAATTGATCTGAATTATTCCAAAAGCATTAATTTGGACATGCTTTGTAATAATTATGATACTTGAATGCTTTGTTGATATGCTTTGGAAGACAATGTTTCTTGTCATATATTTTTGTTTTAAATAAACATATATCACAAAACCTATCGCCTAGCATTTCGAAATTATTACTTGTTTGGCAAAAAATATTAAGACTTCTATATCTGCAGTCAATCCAGCAACAGACTACAAATTAACAACAAACTCTGTTTGAAATTTAACTATTCATGACTTTAAAGATGATAAACACATTCAAAATATTCAAATAATCGTGGACGCATTCAACTGGTGTCCGCCGATAACATCGCGGCAAAAACATCGTGGACGAAAACGTCGCGGAGAAAACAACGCAAGGTGAAAACGTCGTGCTACAAAACATCGTGGGAGAAACATCGCAAAGAGAAAAATCGCAGTTCTGAAACATCGTGGTACAAAAACCGTCGTCGAAATAAAGCGGTTCAAAAACATCGCAGTTTAAAAACATCGTCGTCGAAAATATCGTGGTAAAAAATAAAGTATCTACAATCATCGCTTGACGATAAAAATCGCAGACATGCTTTTTCAGGTTTAATATTGTAAATGGATATTCCCATAATGATTGTGAGCGCAAGGTGGTAAAGAAGGATAAATTTACTTCACATATTTTATTAACAAATAAAGTTTTGCTGAAAATGTAGAGGAACTTAGCTAGAAAATTAAATGTAACTTATAGATTATACTTTCATGAAATATTACAGTAAAAACTTTATAAAAATGATTTATTAATGGCCTTGTTAGTTAAACTATGTCGGTTTAAAATTCTATTAAGTGCTATAAGTTGCATTAATTTTTATGCTTAAGTTTCCTTTTTATTTTTCAGAAAAATTTATTAATTAATAAAAAATATGAAAGTAAAAATTATCCTTCTTTCCATCTTGCGCTCACAAATCATTATGGGAATATCCATTTACAGTATTAAAGCATGCCTGAAAAAAGCATGTCTGCGATGTTATCGTCATGCGATGATTGTAGATACTTTATTTTTACCACGATATTCAACGACGATGTTTTAAACTGCGATGTTTTTGAACCGCTTTATTTTCGACGACGATGTTTTGTACCACGATGTTTTCGAACTGCGATGTTTGCTCTTTGCGATGTTTTCTCCCACGATGTTTTGTAGCACGACGTTTTCACCTCGCGTTGTTTTATCCGCGACATTTTCGTTTGCGATGTTTTTGCCGCGATGTTTTCGGCTGTAACCCATTCAACTATTTTCGATATATTAAAATGATGGAAATTGTGTCAAAACAGCTGTTTGAATGCACTAAGTTTTTTCATTTACTACCGCAATTTCATTACCCCCTTCCAAGCTAACAAAAAGGATCCGGAGATTTAACCCTCTGAAATAAAAAAAAAATGCAAAACATTAGGGCTGTAAACCCTAAAATTGTTATAAATTTCATTAGAGTATATGGATACGATGGCGGTCAGCAAGAAAATTCTTTGTCAACAAGAAACCAATCACAAAACTGTTAAAAGAATCATTAAAGCACATGGATACAATGAGCGATCAACAAGAAAACAATTAAAACGCCGCTTGAGAAGTGATTCTCAAAATCCTATTGCCTGTTTTTGGAAGGTCTGCGAAAGTATAATGCTGTGTGTATGTTTCGCTGTTCTAGAATATGAAATTTACTTCATACAGCAAATAATATGGATCAGTGTAAGTAAATAAATACCTTTAATTAAACCTTGAAAGCACCTGCAAGAAAACTTGGAAAGAGAAATAGATTCAAATTCTATCAGGTTAACGATCTTAAACATACAGCCTTAAATGTTCACTTGCAGATATTATACAATTGTCCCGAGGTTATCAGAATTCCTTCATATCTTAACTTAAGTCCTAGTGAGCATATAGTTATACGAATTGGAGAAAAGAATCAGTATCTTTGAAAGCTGTGTTAGAATGAATGTTTAGGAAAGAACGGGGAAAATGAAACATTTTTACTTGAACAAATTAAGTAAATCCAAGCCAAAGTGTAATTTTAACTAAAAAATATCTAAAAAATATTACTTAAAGCACTTTGAATAACGTTTAAAAAACAAGTAGGTTTTAGAACGGCTGGTCAATAGTATCCGTGAAAGGAAAACAGACATCATTCTGCTAATATTTAATAATATATTTTCAAATCAAAGAGAAAATCACAAATGCCCGAAAACAAATGTGAGCCACTGTAAGTCCCTTTCCTTCAGGTGAGTAGAAAAAACTATATTTCTAAAGACAAAATTAACGTACATTTTAATTTCTCGCTTGAGAAATACAAACTTGCTATTTCTGAATGCCGTGAGAATCGACAATTTTATTCAACATCTACGCCAGTCCAAATTTATTTAGATTGGAGTAATTTCAAATTACATAATGACGTATTTGTCTTCCAATTAAGTATAATTAAATACAAAATGCAACAGAAGTCAAATCGCTCTAGTCGAATCAAAATATCGTAATGCATAAAAATATAAATTTTACCCTTAGTTTCTTTAATTCTGTAATCGTTTGCAGGTGTATTAAATTTTAAGCTTCCTTTCTCAAAATGAAAATAACGTTAAAGCAAATCTTGAAAATAAATATAAATTTACAGAAACGTTACCTTCAAACTTGAAATTCCTTAAAATCATTAGCATAAAAACCTAAAATTAAATTTTAAATTCAAGAATATTATAGTGCAGTGTACTTCTTTTAAAGTGTAAAATTAAGAATCATCAATGGATTATATGCTTGATGCCAATTAAAAATATGTTCATTTGATATTTGAAATAAGAGTAACAGAAGAAAAAAGAAAAATAATTAATTCTTTAAATTAAAAAAAACATATGTAAATATCATTAAATTATAAAGATATGAAAAATGCTTCTAATATATATATTTTAATTACCAATAAAATATTTTTAACTTTAAACGAGAATTTTTTCTATATTTATATTATACTTATGCATGGTGGCTATGAATGGCAACATAAATAAATTTTGTCAACTTAAAAAACCTGTTTAGATCTCGTCTGCAATAGAATAGATTTATTAAGAATTTTATCTTATTCCTTAATTTAAACTAAAGTTTATGTGAAAGAAAATTGCAATTTGCTTTAAATGCACGTAAGTACTTTATATTTTAAAAGAAAATTTTACATAATATTAAAAAAATGATTAATTTTCTCTTTTCACTTACAAAGTATTTTATTTCTCGTATATCTTTAAATACAAAATTGTTTTAACTAATTTGATACATATTTGAAGACATAAATGTCTCGTATATTCACATTAATGTTTCGAACGAATATAAAAAAAATCTTACATATATTTAGCTAATGGAAATCAAACATTAATATTCTCAAACTGTTTTAAGAGGAATCGAATATAATAATGAATGAAGTGGATAGTAATTAAAAATCTAGATAAGAATAATTATTTTAATAAATATTATTTTGTTGTGTAAATAATTCTTATTGTAGTATTGTAAATTTGCGTATTAAAGCTTCCATAATTGTGCTATTAATTCATGTCTATGTGATATTTTTAATATCATTTAAGGTTTACACAATTAATTCTAAAAATGAATTTCCATTTTGTTGGATTTGGAGTTGTTATCAGGATAAATTTCTAAGCATTCTTATAAAGTGAATTCAGTTGGTTATTGGCCAATTTTTAGGGAATATTGCTCTTTCAGTTGAAGGAAACAAAACATCTTACATACATTTGATAGAATCATTTCATTTAATAATAATTAATTTAAAATGAAAACTTATTTTAGAGAATGTAATTAGTTTTTATTAAATTATGTTTCTAGTATAGCAAAAATTCAATGAAGTAATGTATTTGTTAAAATTTGTTTTCAATACATATTTTGGTTTACTAAATATTTACTTCCCAAAGTAAAGCATAAGTAAAAACGAACTTTTGTATATTCTGGAAAAGAAAAAGTTGGTAAAATGATCAGATAGTTGAAAATACAGTGAAAATAAAAACAAGTAATGACAATACTCAGTAGAACTAACATCATATTTAACACTACTTGGTATTCTAAATAATTATTGTAGGGTAATGTATAGAAGGTATAATAATATTTATAACGAACAGTAAGCAAGATCATGCAATTATAAAAAAGAAGGTATGAAACATATTCTAGACTTTTCTTTATTGATGTAAAAGTAAATTATCATTTGAATAATTTTACTTTATTTTGTTTGCGTTCGAGAGTTACGAAATTTAGCTATTTTCCTAACCTGAAAACTTAGTGTAATGTTTGTTTATGATTTAACATTTCTTGCATTTTTCCTAACAGACAAAAATATAGTTTTCTGAATGATTATTATAACATCATTTTATTTTATGTTAGTACTGCATTAGTGTGAATTATTATTCTTTATAAAGACGTAGCTTTGATATGTATTTTTGAACTGAAAAGTGCTGCGTAAGCATTAAAAGATTAATCTTTTACATGTAGCACTTGAACGTATTATTTAAAAACAAAAATAAAAACTTTTGTCTTTCTTTTACCCATTTCCAAAAGAAAATTAAATCGGATATTTTAAGTACCATATTTCTTGGTGTGTCCCCCCGTACATGTTTGCCACTAGCTTTTTAATGCGAGGTTCTGAAAATTAAAAAATATTCGTGTACATTTCTCCTCTCTTAATGCGTTCAGAAAAAGAGTTCTAAGTTTTAAAATAAATTCATTCAATTAGTTACTGTTTTCGCCAATGTTATCATCTTTCTGAGAAGCCTGGAAAATTACCAAGATCATGCCTAACATTCATTCCATCTAACCGTTGAGTTTTACACCAGGCTGATACAAAAACCGAACAATCACACCGAAGTAAACAGAACTTTCAGTTCAACTTGACTGTCAGTTCAAGATTTAATTCAGCTATTCATTCACCTTCCCTGATTACTTATGGATAATTTGAGGCCTAAGGTGTAGCAGAGACAATGATATAATCAATGAGATTCTAGTTTAATTAAATCTAAAAGGAATATCGACATTTCCTTCTGAAATAATAATGTACTAATTTAAGATGTTATGTTAAGTGCGATAAGGAGGCTCAGAATTATACCACGTAATACACTACGTAAAGCAATTCTGTAAAATGAATTGTTGCAGCTCTCCAAAATTGCACTATATAGTCTAGTATTAAAGGTACTTCTCAGCTCATCTGATACGTTGACACCTATTTTTTTAGCTCAGTGATAACTTATTAATAAAATAGTTTTTATATATTAGAGAAATATTGATTTTTATCAATTTACAACCTTCTGTAAAACAAACATTTCCATTTTTATAGGAAGTTTTAATCTTTTTTACCTTCCTAAACGTATTTTTTGAGTTTTGAGTATATTCCTCAGGCATTTAATTAATTGCCTATTACAATGTTAACTTTTAAATGTAAATATATTCATCATGAGCGAACTGCAACTTTTGCTAGCACTTAAACTGAACTGTGAGAAATTAAAGATGTTTCTAGTCATGTCAAGCAAATATATAGGAAACGTGAAAATCATGTATATTTGCTGCAGAGTGTGCAAGGTTAGCATAATCTCATCATACTGCCTGCTTAAAATTGTATACGTATTAACATTATGTATTTAAATTGTCTATGAATATTGTGTATATAACTGCGTGTGTAATATAATTAAAATCTAACAGCATTAATTATTTAGATTTATCTTAAAGAATTTTAACTTATTTTTAGTAGAATATTTAAATCAATTTCTAATTAATTTTGTTTTACATTCTACAATAAATCCAAAGTTTTTGATAAGGTTGCTTAGAATTTTTTTTCATTAAATGAAAATAATAAAAGCATATTGATTTAACTGATACAATATTAACTCATTGTATCAATTGCTCATTCTCCCAGATTTACTTTAAAATTTATTGCAAAGACTAATATCAATAAGAGGTATAAAGGCTCAGAATTTTTCTTTCAGCAAATAAAGAAATACAAGTAAGATATTTATAAAAAAATTATATCCCAACACTCAGAGTCTATTTATAAATTAACTTCAGAATTAAACCTTAGAAAAAAATTCTAAAGTATATAATGAAGTCATGAAAGCAATATCCCTTTTTGTAATCTCAGCAATATTTTTAGTTGTAAATATAAATAAGCTTTCGCACTGAATCTTACAGTTACGTCACAGAGTATATTTCAACTTTCTCAGCCATGAACAATAAGAGTACAAAATCTAGCTGTGATAAAAATGGAACAAATATCATAATAGCAGAATAAAATGATATTTTCTAATATTTTTCAGTTTCTTACTCAGGAATTCATGATTTTAATGAGACTGAAGTCTTCCATCAAGATTGGGCAATCTGGCATGGCGTGGTGTGGTGTGGTGTATTTAATTATGGCAAAGCACACTAGGGCTATCTGCCTAAGAGGAGGGATGCCTTTCGTGGAAAACTTTCTAAGGGAAACTGACTCGTATACACGTTACACATGGGGAAAACCACGAAAATGCCCATGCAGCCAGCCCGTTCGCGGGATTCGAACCTCGGACCGAACTACCAGTGTTCAGCGACTTTACCGCTCGGCCGCTGGTGGGCCAATCTGGCATGGCATGAGATAGGTTTAGTTTATTACGGCCAAGCATATTAGTGCTATCTGTCTGACGGAGGGGATGCCTTCTTGGGGATTGTCTAAAAGAAATTAGCTCGTACACACATTACACATTTAGAAAACCACGAAAACGCTCATGCAGCCAGCGCGTTCTCTTGGATTCGAACCCAGGTCAGATATACAAGTGTTCAGCGATTTTACTGCTCGGCCGCTCGCCCATCGGAGGACCGTACGCCGTTTGCGTTTATTTCGGAATTCACGCTTTTTAATTTTTCTAACATTTCCTCAAAAAAAAAAAAAAATTAGAGAAAATACCATATAGAGGTAAAATGCCCTGTATACTAGCGTATTCCTTCTGTATATATCTCCCGATTTTTAATATAGGCTAAGCTGAACAAACTCTATATAATCATTTTGTGCAATCCTATCTATCTAACATCTAAGGAAATTAAATTTAAAAAATTGTAACAATATATTATGTATCAATAAAGAATTCAACAGTTAAACTATTTAATTTTACTTACTTTTTATTTGGACATATTAGCCAATATACTATATCTCTTATCTATTAAAATTTATTTCATGATTAAACATTTGACTGATGTAATGGATTAATGTTGATTAATAAATACGGATACGTATTCAAGTGGATAGTTTATATGTTTCCAGAATTTAAAATCAATGGTAGCTTGTTTTTTCTAGCTTAAGAAACAAAATTTCTATTACGAAAACAATCTATTTAACGCCAAACATTGCCCTATATGATCAAGTGATTCTATATATTTCAAGCAATTGAACATTTTTGCATCAGGTTCATCTATTACAAAAAAGTAATATGAAATATCTTACTTGATACATCTTCGAAGTTCGAGACGAGAAGTTCGAGCATCTAATAAACTTTTGCTTCCCAGTAAGAGTTTCTTTCTAATTAAGCTGCTATCTGCCTTTTATGATTTATTGAAATAGACATTAATATACAATATTTACAAACAGGTATTAAATATTTTAAGACAGCTATCTCTTATATTAAATTAACTGGGTTTTTTTAAGGCAGAAGTTTTTTGTCCGACGCTCCTCAGAGGGCGTTCTATTCGAGTCTAGTCCATCCGCCAGAGGGCGTTCGTTGAAACTGAGTTTTTGTAAACAAACGTGACAGCAATGGTATTAAAAAGAGAGATAAAAAATATTTAATGGTTTTCAATTTTTAAAAGGCTGATGTTGTTTTAATGTAAAAGTTTACAAATTGTTTTACATTATTAAAAATTACGTAAAATTTACTTGTTTGACAGTATTCATTTGTTTCATTTTTGCAGAAATAGCCTTATAAATATAATGTACTGACACGTCGAGAATTTACAATGAATTGGGTTGGAGGTGCTCGGAGTAGAATAAAAGCAAAGAGTGAACACAAGAAACAGAGAGAATTCTTTAAGAAAAAGAAGTTAGAAGAAGCTCAAAAAGCAGAAAACAGAAACGCATTTGCTATACCAGCTCTAAGTCAAGATTTGCTTACTTTTCATTTTCTTCAAAGGAACTCACAAAAAATGCATCAAAGCGCAAAACCAGTTAGAATAATTAAACAGGATTTAGATAAAATTGTGAAAACTTCGGGTTCATCCATTAAAATCCCTCAGACACTTTTTTATCCAGCCATATCAAAGAATAATCATGCAATATCTTATAATGCACAGTCTAACACTGAATCGAATACAGTCGACCTTGATTTATTGTTGAATAATAAAGAATACCAAGAAGACGGAAATCCATATTCTAGCGCACCTCCCTCTGCTAAAAGAAAATCATTGCAGTTTTCAAATGTAAAAGAAATATATGAAAATTTTGAAAGAAAGTATGAGCTTGATATACCAAAAGTGAACTATGAACGAAATGACGTCCGCCCAAATTTTATCGAAAATATTCAATTTTGTGAAACTCTTCCTCATGCTGTAACCGCAGAATTTAGCACAAAATATGATACAGAGGAATCTGATATTGACACAGAATTTAAACAATACATTAACCGAGAGAAAATGTATGGCACAATAGAAAATAATTTTCAGGAGTCTGATGGCTCTGGCAGTTCATGGAGAAACGAGGGAAATAATAACTTTGACAATACGAGGGGTATGTCTAGTAAATATCGACTGAAAAAGCAATATCAAATTCTTAAAAATATCAATTCCATGCTAAACAAAGATGAAATCTGCGTAAGTTCAGTGAAATCCAAATTAACATTTTCTGAAAAATCCAAATGTTCATTCTTAAGCACCCCATATGCAATACATGGAAATAACGCACAATCACCTTATAATGTAAAGCAAGCCCAAAATTACTCTGATATTTACAGTTTAAGAGGTAACGTGCTTGAACCTAGTGAATTTAGTGATTCATCAGAGTCAAAAGATGAATTTTATTTCGATCCAAAATTTAATGTTAATTCTTCAGCTGATTCGTCTTCTTCTTCAAGCACAAACACGCCTATAATTCCTCATGATAAGGAAATTTACAAACATTTCCGAAAGGAATGTGTGAAAAATTTTGATATCTCACCTGAAACATTTAAACGTATAAAACACTCGTTGAAAGGAACGGAACACATTGGAAACGCAAATGCAGTAATAAACCATAAATGTAAAATTCGTATTTCTGATAAAACAACATTAAAGTCTCAGCGTAGTAGAGAAGAGAAAGTTTCAGGTAGTTCAAATGCTGAAACACCAGAAAGAAACATCCATTCGCATTTAAAATATAATGCGTATATTAAAAATCCATCTGTCCATTCAAATGAAAGACAGAATGCTAGATATCTTGAAGACATGCTTAAAACCTATTCACCAAACATCATAAATACAGAACATTTTAAACAAAACAGAAAAATAGCCAGTCCTCATCTTTCGTCAAATGTAAATGATTCAGAAGTTAATAATATTAGCCTCAGATGTGGGGAAAATACACATAGCATATCGGTTACTGAGAGTACTGCAAACTATAGCCTACAAGACAACATAAGGAACGGTATTTATGAAACAGTAGATTCAAGGTCTAATTGTTTTGATAATTCAAGATCTGAACATTTAGATGAATCTGTATCGAAACATAATCGTCTAAATACTACAACTGATGTAGCCACAAGTCCTTTCATATTTCCTAAATCACCAGTTGAGCATAAAGTTTCCATATATTCTAGAAATAACTCTTATGGAACCTTTGATTGTTCTCCAGTTGTACAGGAAGTTCAATCGACCAACCTTAAAGATATGAAAGGAAGCACTAAAATTAACCCAGACGATAATATGGAATGTTATTTCCCTTCAAATGACAACAGCGCAACTGAAACACTCCCTCTTCTCGTACAAGAAACACCGTTGCCTCATACCGTTTCAAATGAATGTATACAGACTGAGCACTCAAGATCTGAACAAACAGAGATATATTCCATGACATCTATGAATAATCTTCCCGCAACCCTTCCGAACACTCCATCATCTTTCAGCAGGTTCGATGAAACAAAGGAAAGTGGCTTACAAAATTCAAATAATTTTGTTAAAGAATTGAATAGTGCTTTCAATAAGGTATCTGACGAACAAAGTTCAGTTTCTTTTAATGCAGTTTCAAAACAAACAAATCCGAGCAATAAACTTCAGAATGCTGAATCACTGCACAGAAACTTTAACTCAGTGGAAGCTTTTTTTCAGCTGCAAGGTTTTGAGAAGTTAAATGGTGAAACATTTAAAGAAAATAATGTTGCATTATCTAATGCAAAAGTTTTAGAAACAAATCTAGAGAAAGTAAATTTTAACGTCATAATTGAGCAGGACAGAAGCATCGTAGGCGCAAGCATTTCCCCATCACAACAGAAATTGGAAGGTAAAATTATCAATGTAGATGAAGTAACAAATACCAACAGCCAACTTTATGATCTGCTGGAAGGAATGCAAAATGGACCGCAAGACGTAATCTATAACTCTTTTCTAAAAGCGTTAGAACATTCGGAAGAAACCTTCGCAATAAAAAATGAAGTATGTAAAACTGCATACAAATCCGATTGTTATGAAACTACATTCGACCATAATACGCCCAATTTGTTTACTTACCCTAATTCTAAAGTAAACTGTGAAAATAAGTCGTCATTCACAACATCACTGCAGTCATCATTCAGAACATCTACACCATCTGAAGCAGATTGCACAGAGGTTTCATCAAATACATCACCTAATTCATTAAGCCTGAATGAATGTTCCACGTTAGGCTCAGAAAGTTTCATTCAAAATAAAATTGAGGATGCACAAGAGAAATATCGGAAAACATTCCTCATTGAAAATAAAAAACATGATTATCAGTCCAGCAAAAGAATATGCTTGGATAAATCTATTCAAGCAAATGTTCAAGTAAATTCTGTATGTTGCCAAACTTATTATTACACTTTAAAAGACGCAGAAGTACAAACAGATTATGAACATTGAAGGTACATTCGCATTTGAAAAGAGGTAATTAAATTGTCTGATGATATCTTTTAGAAAACGTTTTTTAAGTTCACTTTGGAAATTCAGATTAAAAAATATTTTTGATTTGAAAAGCATGTTATTTGTACTAATGTGTGTTTTTATTTATTTACACCACTTTATGGGCTATCTGTAATAATATTAAAATAACCTCTAATACATTTTTTAAAATAGTATTCTTATTATTCTTATTTTGTTAAATAGTTTGTTAATATCAGCATAAGAGCAAAACTGACGAATGAGTTAGACTTTGAAAAAAAAAGAACATTAGAGTTTGAAAAGAAAGAAAACATCATTTATTCTCAAATGTACTACAGATGAAATTATTTTAGGTACATTTGCAAAAAAAATCATTTTAACTGAAAGGAATTTTTAATATTTGTTTATGATTACGTTGTTATTTAAAATTTAATTTTCAATGAAGCATCCGCAATAAATTATCTCTATTTACACTTTCATATTTAAGAAACTGTTTCTGTTGATTGCCCAAGAAATTACTGGATTTACAGTTTTTACATATTTATAGCATTTCATGTATGTCTTGGTTACATTGGAATATATATATAAAACTATAGATTCAATATATAAAAAATAAAATCAAAAAGTAATATCAAAACTGTATAAAAAACTATAGATTCAAAGCAGATGGGTTCTGTCTTCTCTAAGCAGCAAAAATATTCTGCTTGCAAAAGAATATTCTGGTACAAATGTCTTTAGAAATAAAAGGATTTTGTCAAAAAATTAGAATCAATCAAAAGATTAGAAGATTTTTATTTAATTTCAGACTTGATAGCGTGTCTCTGTTCATGTAATTTGTTTATATATAAAATTGCTGTGTAACTAAATTTAGATAATGTAGCAATAAGGTAGAAAACATTTCTGTAAGTAGGAAAAGGAAGTTATCATCTTGTTAATTTTTGAAATATTGCATTAGAAGAAACACAACACTTTTTATTAATGACACCAGTTATGTTAAAAGCATTAAAAACCTCTTAACAGTTATGCGATAAGTTATCTATCATTTCTTAAACATTAAAGTAAAATTATTAAAAAGCATGAAGAGTGTTTTTAAATAGTCCACTTTAATACTCTAATATGCAATAAAATATTGCATTTTGGGCATAAATAATATACTCAAGAATGATAACAAAATTTGAACTTGACAAATTAATAGTTAGCACAATTTAGTGAAGCATTAGCATAAACAACGCAATGTAAGAAACGGAACCACTAGGTTATAATGCGTTTTTAAAGCTAAAATTTAATTATTATTTATTTTACATCATTCATGCACTCGTCTTGAAAAACTGACAGTTCTAAAAGTTGCTGCTAATCCGGTAGCGGAAAATGTGTATTTTTCATCTTATTAATTAAACTGTGCACTCTAAATTATTAAAAAAAACAATGAATGTAATCTTAATAAGTGTTTTCACTTGGAAAACAATTGAGCACGTGCCAAAATCTTTCCGAATTTTAAAATTCATGTTATTTAGCTGCAAACAATGCTGACAATGTTTTGAACTGAATGTTTAACAAATAATTATGATGTCAAAAATATTTCGAGATTAAAATTCCTTCAAAATTTTATTCCTTTAAATTTATATCAAAGATTATTAATTCAAATACGTAATTAAAGCATCTACGTATGCCAGTTAAAAATAACAGTATTTTTCACGTATATTTTTTACGTCAGTATACTTGAAAAGTTGGTTTTAAATAAGTCGAGATAGCTCTAATAATTCATAAAAATATTTTTTTAAATATATGCGAGAAATTTTGGTGGATTAATAATTATCAATATAGCCTTCATTCGTGAATTTTTCGATGTGATAGAAAACTCTTATAAAAAAAAAATCTGAAATTTTTCAGATTTTAAATTACGTCCAAAGGGGCGTTTTTTTAACGTTTTGAGTGTTACCTTTATTTATTAAATATCATGTTCTTTGCACTTAAACCATAATGTTTATGTTTAAAATATAAAACGTACCCTTTTAAATATTCCTGTTATGCATGTTTTATCTCATTTAAACAAATCAGATTAGATGGATAGAACTTACTTAAGTGTTTAATTAGATGTTTTTTAAGGAAGTTATTTAATTAGATGAATAGAACTTGCTTTTACATCTATTGTAATTTTAGCTTAGGGCTAAACTCTGTTAACTTGAGAAGGTAGTCATTTGAAAACAGAAGTGAATCATGTGATGCCTAGAGAAAACTGCAAAAGGACAATGTATTCAATTTGTATACAGACTTTGCTCCTACTCTTTAAGTTATAGAGGTTACAAATTCAAATTTAGAAGAAGCAGTTGGGAAATGATTCAGGACCATTGGCTGAGAGATTTAAAAAGAGGAAAAAGTTACATAGCTTCGAAATGAGTAATTTAAATGGGTAGAGTTACGCTACATACAAATCTGGAATGATTTACATTTGGAAACTTATTTTGAAATATACTCGATTTTAAAAAAGGATTGTCTCTGATGCAAGAAGAGAACAATAAGGATGTACTTATGTTTAGAAATTTTGGGAATAAGAACGTGAATTGAGTGAGAGATATAAAAAATTATATTCCACTATATCTACGTACATTCCACAAAAACAAAACCTATTTTTTATAATATAAAATTTAAGATTAATTATTAAATCAATTAACGACTGTGAAATACTTTACCGATATAGCTTTAAATATGCTTCCATAATCATTAATGGTATAATGGAAATTATTAATGATTATAAAAGCATATTTTAATATTTTAGGACTTAAAACTACTCATTAAAAACAGTCATTTTGAACACGTGTTGGTGCCTTGTTCAAAATAAACTGGCTACTGCTAGTCTATTAGGAATCTTTTTCAAATTAGAGATACCACAAAGATCAGAAACTCTGGTACAGCGCTTTCATTATAAACTATTACTTTATTCTTTCTAAATATATTTTTACTATATTTCGCAAGGAAACATTTTGCTTAGAAGCTTTTGAATTCATCATCGTTTTTGCATTTACTTATGGTTTAATTATATCAGCGTGATAACTCTCGTAATTATTTGTCCAATTTTTAAAATAATTTCAGAATATCGTTACTGATGCAGGTAAAATTTAGATTTTTGTAAATTACGACATTCCTGAGGAATGATAAAACATTTATAAGAAGGCTGAAAACTTTATCTTGCAGAAATTTTAGATCATTTCTTGAAGTATGGAAGAAGATGCCTACTTGAATCCAGCAGAAAACAAAATCGGTTTAGTTAATATGAATTATATCTACTACCTTGCATCACACCTGTGTCCTATTAGTATGAAAACAATCGTAAGGCCACTTTTTATTACTCTGATCTAGTAAGCCTTTCGTTTATGAGCTTTTCGAAGTAACTCTTTAATTTTTAAATCTTCAAGCACAATAACTCTTTTAGCTTTTAACATTTCAGCAATGAGATATTTGACTTCCATTTAAGGGGACTCATACACCTTAAACCTCTCATGATCTTCGAATATGTGACTGTTGAAAGAATTTAGATATTTTATTTATTTTAAAAGCAATTACTTCCAACCTTTTATAGCTGACTACATAATATAGCTGCTTTGGAAACTAGTAACCAGAAAGTTTGTGTTGCAAGCAATATTTTTGTAATTTAATCCTCTTTGTGACAAAATATTTCGCCGTGTTTCCACCTTGCGCGCATGATATTTTAAAAATGGCTAATGGTACACACTTGAAATTTTATGGAATTCTTTATATAAGCACTATTTTCTAACTGAACCAACAATCTGATTAATATTTTAATATTAAAAATTTTATGGGCGAAAACGTTAAAAAAATTTTTAATAAAATACATTTTATAATCTGAACTCAAAATAAAATAAAAATTTAACATGAAATTTTTAGAATTTTAGGTTCACAGTAGTTTCCAAATGTTATAAAAGCTATATATTAAATATGGAATCAAATTATGAAACAGAATGTTTTAAACGGTGCGCGCAAGTTGGAAACATTTCGAAAAATGTTGTCTCAAAGCGGGTTAAATTATAAAAATATTTGTGGCAACACAAACTTTCTGATTACTATTTCAGAAAGCAGCTATATTATGTAGTCAGCTGTAAAAAGTTGGTAGTAATTGCTTTTAAAAATAAATAAGTTATCCCAATTCTCGCAACAGTCACCTATTCAAACATCTTACGGGTTTTAAGGTGTATGAGTCCCCTTAAGAAATTATTCTCTGACCAATTCAGTGATTTATACTTAAAAAATACTGCTATAAGCTGCTGGCCATATGAACTAAGGCTAGAAGAGCCATATGAACTGATGCAAAGATACCAACATAGGATTACGCTATTCTAAAAGCTAAAATAACATAGGTTTGTGCTAGAATAATATCATAGGCTAGGCTAGAATGCCATATAAATTAAAAAAGGGCTGATATGATAAATATACAACTTTCATAATATAGAAACTATGTATGTGTAAGGTAGTTACACCTTCGAAAAGCAAGTTAGCGCACTGTAAAGCCCGACTAGTATAGTTATGAAATTTCTAGGCCAAACAATCTTTCCGGTGCCTCTTGTCTCCTTTTTTGCTTCTTTAATTTGAGAGAAGAACAGGATTATAAAGAACTATAGAAAATTTTAGAGTTCCTAAACTCTTGGGCTCTATTTTTAAAGTTCATAGCCTAAGAAGAAATTCGATTTTGATTAGACTAGTTATCAGAGTCTAAGGTGAGAAATGATACAGAAAAGTATTATAGATGGGTAATCAGAGACCTTTATTAACGTCTGATCATCGTTTGTTATATGTGAAAACATGCCAGGTGAATTACTTCTATAGAACTACTGTGTCTGCCAACGTCGAAACCTGAGGATTGTTGCTAGCTGTGATTAATATGCAAGATTTAGCATATGATATTATAGCAAACTATATTATATTATAGCAAACTTTACTTCTCATATATTTTTCTTCATCTTCTCTCATATCTAATATGATATTATAGCAAGCTATATGATATTATAGCAAACTTTACTTCTCATATATTTTTCTGTTATGCAAGAATTTCTACATAAGGAACGCTGATTCGTTTATTTTATTTACTTCCAAATAGGTAATCAGAGTTAGAAGCTTTATTTTAACAATATTTAAAACAGATGAATAAATAAATTTTTTCCTTAACAAACTCTAACTCTCGTAAACTCTCGTAAAACAACAAGAACTCTTACTATAAAAGATACAATAATACAATGTGATAGCAAAAAAATTGAAACCTTTATGTCACAAGGCTACACATTTGACACGTTCGTTACGTAAACTGACACAATGAAAAACACCTCGTGAGTAAATTGACATTTTACTTTATACAGAGGCGGACAAAGAGACAGAAAAAACCCATTTGGCAAAATGGAATCACTTTCC